GCCCAGCTCGTCCGATCCTCCTGTGTGCCACGCCCCCCTCGTTAACCCCATGTGAAATCCCGATGTAACTAGCTGTTTCTTGTTGTCTCCATTAGTCCTGTGTATTTAAGTCTGTGTTCAAGTATGTTTCCTCAGTCCTGTCATTGAAGTCATTTGATGTTCAGCGAAGTCTGCCGTCCGCATACTCGTTTTGTTGTTTTTCCCCGAATAAAACCCTAGTTTCCCCAATTCCTCATCTCCCTGCTCCTGCTTCCTGATTCCCCTGATTCACCATGATTGTGACAATCAAGTTTTTTAAATGAAATATTCCATGTTCCAAGTTTTGCTTGCTGGCAAAATCATTGAGGGCATAACCCCCTTTTCTTGCTTGATGAATTAATCTATTGAAATCATCTTGCACGGCTGCACCTTCTTTTTCAGGTTAAGTGTGGTGGGTGTGGACATGCTGATAGGGGGAGAATACACTTAACATAATGACAAATAACTCAAAGGTGCATAACTTTTTCAGCACGTTTTTGACTTAAGTGCTTGATGGGAGAATCGACCCCCAAGACATTAACTATGCAAGGCAAGGAGACCTGATCAGTTTAATCTTACCCATGCAGGTAAGTATTTAAAAATTGTGGTACAATCCAGTTAGGAGGAAAGTTGTAATCTCTGCATTTGATAAAGGAAATGCTCCTTTTGTTCCTACAGGGTTCTTATTTTTAAATATTTTCTTGTTTCCTTGTTTGAAAAACCTTTGTGAAGGAAAATGTTAATATGCTTGTTTATCTTCAATTTTATGATTTACTCTGTCTATCACTGGTCTTAAGGTCTTGGCCAAGTTCTGCTTAGCACCACAACACTATATCAGATGTAGCATTACCAAAATCAGTGCTGTTGTTTCCCTCATTGCAAAAGCAGCCATAGACCCCGTTGTTCTCCCCGCACCATTCATCCTCCATGCAGTTCAGACCAGCACAGGGGTCCGCTGGTGCTGGAGGAAGGAAATGAAGGAGACGGGTCAGTGGATAGTAACAAAGGTACAGCAAGACCAGCATCAGCGATCGACTTTTTAAGCATCAGCAGTAGAAGAAATTGTCATTCCTGCACACCTATGTGAAGGCAGATAGACAGAGATGACCAATATTACACATCCATGGTGAACAGTCACTAGTAATGTATCAGCAATACTTACGGCAGAGCAAATCTGAGCGCCACTCTGGAATCTGGAGAGCCTGGAGGTTGCACGCGGCTTCATAGGTTGCCACTGCAGAGCAGAGCATCCCATTGGCAGCGGGGTTGTGGGAGAGGTCATACACGCAGGAGGAGAAATAGGGAGTGGGATCAATGTAGAACTGGCAGATTCTGAATGGGCCAGTGGTGTTGAAGATGATGCTGCAGGCTTTACTAAAATCCTCTACTAAGGTGCAGTTGTCATCTTCTGATCCTCCACCCCTTGTGTCATTAGCTCCACAGCTGGGAATCAACAAAGAGTATTTATACACTTGCAATAAAAAGCACTATATTCAAAGGAATAGTTTATGCACATCTCTATGGATGCAATTGCTCTAGTTGCAATGCCAAAGACATTACACGTGACTGAGGAATTCCCTACATCCATTGTCCAAATGTATTTCCATTGTAAGGTCCTGGGTTAGAGGAATAATTTGATTAATATAAAGAATAATTTAAATTAATTTCTTTTAAATTTGTGACTATTTCCTTTGTTGTGAAAAATTGATTTATGATGAATTTAAGCATTAGGCAAACACTTCTAAATTAATGATTTAAACTTGCCTTTAACAAAGCAAAGTTATTAATGAAAGGCATCTGATCATCTTTTCTAGTTGGATGATACTAATTTAACATAGTCTTGTAGTCTAATGTTGAATTTGGTTTCTCAGTTTTTTGTTCCTACCTAGCATTTGACAAGAAACATATTACTGTGTAAATACTGGTATAAAAACATGGGCATTTATGGGCATATGTTTAAAACAATGCAAGACAGGCAGCAAAAGTCAGGTTGCAGTAAAAAATAATATGACAGTTATAGTAGTATAAGGATCAGTTAAAAAAACATGATCTCATGAATGAACCTGTCTCTTCCTTCCTTGCTTTTTACTGACAAAATCTTACTTAGGGAGGCTGTAATCTGACTTCCATGAATCACCAAATTC